TCCATAAGCAAATCCGGGAGGGAAAATGCACCATCTTATTTGAAGGATGCAAACATATTTAGTCAAACAAGAAACTGGCTCATCTGAGAGTTTTATAGGAAACAAGGACAGAAAGTAGTTTGCATAATTTTTCTCATGCTCCTTTTATAGTGTTTATCTTTTATAAGGCTCTTTGGAACAGTTGCTAGCCACCTGTCAATAATGTGGCCTTTTATAGACTCAACCTTTTATTGTTCTCATGCCCTTGACATACAGAAAAACAATCTTAGAAGGAGTCAGTGTTGAATAGGGTGGGCAACATACTAATTTTAAATTTTAAAGACTGTCTTTTGTAGACTGACATAAAGAGAGAGTTTTGAATGACGTGAAGAGAACAGGCATGTTATGAAATCTTCCTTAGGGGGAATAAAAATAAATTGATTATTTTATCAACGTTTTTGGAAATTGAGTTAAGAATTATATTTAAAGCACTAGTCAGTGGAAAACGAAGCCAAGTAGCATTCATTTAAAGTTGTTTTAACAATTTTGCATAATACTGTATCAGTTCCAAGTGAAAATATTTGTATTGTGAGTCCAACAATTACATAAATATTTTGTATATGCAATCATTTGTTTTAACTTCTTTTTAGTGGAATAAGATATCCAGTATATTTTTCTCAATTTACATAAAATCTGTCAAGCTAAGTGTTCTACATGTATTTATTAACCTACATCCTAGAAGTGCTTTCATGATACTGAATGAACACAGTCCTGCAAATCTGTATGCAGGAATACATTTCCATCCATAAAGCGACATTACCAAGCTCTTAAGTAGGAAGGTGCCTATCTTTTGTTTTGCACAATGAGATTCCAAGTTCTCTGTATATAATCGTGAACAAGAATAATAAAGGAAGCAAGTTTCAAACCAATGGAAATTCTTTGTATTCTTGTTAAAAATACAAACATCCTGATACACACATACATACACTCACGCAGACACACACAGCCTTTCCAACACCACCATTTCCCACTCTTAGTAATATGAGATGTGGGGCTACAATTTAATATTTGTGCAGAGACCTATGAATTAAATATCATATTCTCATATTGTGCTTGGGAGACGACTTCATGTTTTCCTTGATAGAGTTTGCATATTGTGCTTTTCAAACTGCACTTTAGAACATTTGTACTTCTTGAAACATGGTAGCTAATTGGGCTGGTAATTCTTAGCTGCCAAGAGCAATTTTAGATGTGGTCCTCTTTCTGTTCAGTATGTGATTATTTTAAGACTACTTGGAGGACAGAACTAGACAGCCCTTCATCAGATGTGCAGTGGTGAAGATCTGATTTTCCAATACGTCTGTTAATTGGACACAAGTGCAATACCCATGGTTTAATGAAAAGTTATGATAGCGGATAAGGTACCCTGCAAAGTGAATGAGTTTTCTTTAGGTTCAATTGTGATTATATTGCCACCTCTACTTTCACTGGTGCCTTCATGTGTTTTTTTTTTCCCCTTTAGCCTAGTATTTTTATAGATCTCTAGAATTTTCTTGGGATACTTATCTCCTGGTTCTCAATGTAAATATACTTGGAATAAAATAAACCCAACAATGTTATCTATTACTAGCTGGTTAATAGAATCTATGATATTATTTTTGGAATGGAAATTGAATTGAATTTGTATGTAGAATGTATGCTTTTCTAGTTATCTAAGTCAACTTTAGAAATGCTTATTCATTATCAATGTATATGAAATAGTGTAGAATTTTTCTCGAACTCAGTTTCTTTCTTTCTGTTGGCATTGATATTAACCACGTAATGCCTTGGATAATAAAATCTGCAAACTAAATTCTCTCTTTCTGAACAAAATAATTGAGGAAATTCATTCAAAAGCCAGCCATGAAAGTTAAAAGACATGATCAAACCAAATGTTGCAGAAGATAGGCAAAGTTCTGTTCTTATGGAGCCACTGAGTCAGTCTAATGTGATGAACAGATATTGGCAAACTATTATTTAATAAACTAATTGAAATTGTGGTAAACATGATGTGAGAGACATGTGGAGTGTTCTAAGAATGTGTAAGAAGGGATCTCTCCCTAATTTGATGTTAGTAAGCTATGGATCATTTTCAAAGTAACCAGCATTCACTTTTATTTTTGAAGAAACTTATAAGAAAGGCAGGAGTTTTCTGATAAAATTTGGCTTATAAGAGTAATATCTTCACCCATCCTTATTTTGTCTAGGGTAAATTTCAAACGTAATAGTTAACTAGTGTTGTATAGTTCTGCTTCATAGTTTTAGAGGGTTTGTTTTTTAGTATGTGTGTTTTCCTTACCCAGTAATAACACACAGACTTAAAGTCAATCCACATTTGGTATACTCAGATTTCGGTAATAAAATATTAATTTTCATCAGTTAGTTGAAACACACTCATTAATAATATTACAACCTACCTAAAGAGTACAATTAAATATTTTTAAGTGCCAAATCTATAACTTTCCTATAAAAATTTTTTGTTTTTACTTGGAGGATAAAAGACTAACTTCTTAATAGTCCTAGTCTGATTCTTCAGTCTAATTTCATAATTAATATCAAAGATTGGAAAACAAAATATCAAGAAGTTCTCCTGAATTACACCTGGGTTTTACACTTTGAGTTAATACAAGACCCTTATATTTTGAAATTTAGACTTAATGGCATATAGCTTACTCCTAACTTGATGGTCCAACATAAACGTATCTTTATATGCTGTATTTAGGATGAGAAATAAAGATTACTGTTCAAGTATGAAGGGGAAAAGGAATAAATAGCAAAGATTTATGGAATTAACTAAAATTTCATACATTTTACTGTGTTCCCTTGAGAAGGGTCCCACATTCTGATTCCCAAACTGGATATATAGGAATTCTCTAAGACAATGTCAACAGATTTATGAATATATATTTTTCTTTGACAAATTAAAAATAAGATTAAAATATTATCAGGTATTCCATGTGTACAGATGTAATACACTCACTGACTTTCTTAGCTCATAAAGTTTTTTTTTTTTTTTTCTTTGCGGTATGTGGGCCTCTCCCGTTGCGGAGCACAGGCTCCAGACGCGCAAGCTCAGCGGCTGTGGCTCACGGGCCCAGCCGCTCCGCGGCATGTGGGATCCTCCCAGACCAGGGCACGAACCCGTGTCCCCTGCATCGGCAGGCGGACTCTCAACCACTGTGCCACAAGGGAAGCCCGCTCATAAAGTTTTGACATCAGCACTCTGGGAAGGCTGTTTCCCTGAATGTATTTTAAGCCACCTGTAATTCTCTACATATGCATATGAACTTCATAAAGTAATGATATAGGTATGCCAAATTTTCATGCAACTGTGGTTAGTTAGCACAGTATTTTCAGTCAATCTGTTTTCTATTTACAACTCCATCATTCCATTTGTAATGAAATTAACATCTTCAAGTTGTAAACATCTTCCTAGTTAAAATTAAATGTTTAAATATAAGCACACTCTTCATATTTCTTTCTTTGTAAATTAATCATTTTGTATAGGAGTATCTAAGTCTCAAGCTCTGAAATCTAGAATAAATAATAAAAATAAAAGTCAGAACTGGAGTCTAAAATCCAGGATGGTTTTTTTATTCATTTAAGATGTGAACTTGGCAAGTCACCTCCCCTCCTTGTCACTTGTTTTCCTCATTCATAGAGTGAATCTGTTGGTGTAGTTTAGTGGTTTTTACTTCTCAGCGACAGAAGCCTCTTCTCAGACAAAATCTATGTATAATCTCAACATACATAAAAATAAATAATAATAATGGAGCTTTTCTTAGGGAAGCAGCAATGAGGGAGGAAGGGAGTGGGGTGGGGCTGAGTGACCCTAGAGCCAGACCCTGTATACTGCTCGCCCACTTCCCACGCAGCCTATTGAAGATGGCTCTAGTCTGCATCAAATAATTCCTCAAATGCCAGGGACCACATTTTGAAAACCATGTAATTATGTGATTATTACATTTCTTTAAAATTCCAAAATAATGTAATCTCTATTACATAAATTGCTATTTGTCTATTAAAGTCTTGAGAATCCTATTATCTACCTTAAAAAAAGAAATGATATATGCAAATATAAGTAGGTTTCAATCTGTGATAAGAAGGATGCTAAGGTAAAAAGCCCACATTTCATTTTAAAGCCACTGACTTAAGTATTCCATAAAATTGCTCCATAATGCCAAGTAATTCATATTTAGGAAATGAATAAATTGATAAAACTCGAAGTAACCCTTTAACATGCAGAAAATTCCAAAAATCTTTTAGTTAAATTTTAATTCTCTTACCCATCTTTCTATTTCACTGTGGAGATGATAAAAAAATTTTTTTTGTAAATTTAAGGGCAGAATGTGATAGAATGAATTTTTCACTTTCCAGCTTTGGTTACAAGAAGGTAAACACTTCTGTCAGCACGCACGTATGCAACTAATAGATTCTTTCAGTCATAGTATGTAGAACAACAGAAAATGAGAGGGAAGAGAGCATATTTTACAAAATAGTTAATTGCCCCAGGAAAAGAAAAGTCTGCAGGAGACAAAGCTCTTCACAAGCAGCCGTTTTCTTTGCCAGTTAGTGAAATGAATTTGATGGTTATGAGGCAGGAGTAATGGGTTTTCACTGTGACTAGTTTCTAATGTGAGCAAAGGTTCTCTACCTACCTAAAATTAAGCAAGGGTTCTTAATGAGCCAAGCGTTCTCCGCCTACTTTAAATTAAGAAAATGAATAAAAGCAAAATTTCAGTAATCCCAAAAGGACTCAAAATGAACTTGTCCCAGCAGTTACCTTATATAGACCCTGTGACATAGTTCCCCTTCTGCAAAAATACTGAGTGTAGATCATTACTTTCCAACAGTCATGTGCAGAGACCTACTTTATAACACTTCAGGGAAGTTAATGTACTAGATCTTGAAGTGCCTTTCTGGAAGTGAAGTAATTTGTAGTTTTCATCTAGTAGCACTGTTAACTCTTGTATCGTTTTTAGGTCCATGGGGCCGATGCATGGGAGACGAATGTGGTCCAGGAGGCATTCAGACCCGGGCTGTGTGGTGTGCTCATGTGGAGGGATGGACAACGTTGCATACAAACTGCAAGCAGGCTGAGAGACCCAGTAACCAGCAAAATTGTTTCAAAGTTTGTGACTGGCACAAAGAGTTATACGACTGGAGGCTGGGACCCTGGAATCACTGTCAGCCTGTGATTTCAAAAAGCCTGGAGAAACCCCTTGAGTGCGTTAAAGGGGAAGAAGGCATTCAGGTGCGAGAGATAATGTGCATCCAGAAAGAGAAAGACATCCCTGCGGAGGATATCATTTGTGAGTACTTTGAGCCCAAACCTCTTCTGGAACAGGCCTGCCTCATCCCCTGCCAGCAAGATTGCATTGTGTCTGAGTTTTCTGCCTGGTCGGAATGCTCCAAGACTTGTGGCAGTGGGCTCCAGCACCGGACGCGTCATGTGGTGGCGCCCCCCCAGTTTGGAGGCTCAAGCTGTCCAAATCTGACTGAGTTTCAGGTGTGCCAGTCCAGTGCCTGTGAAGCTGAAGAGAGCATGTACAGCTTGCAGGTGGGGCCCTGGAGCACGTGCTCAATACCCCACTCGAGGCAAGTAAGACAAGCAAGGAGACGTGGGAAGAATAAAGAACGGGGCAAGGACCGAGGGAAAGGAGTGAAGGATCCGGAGGCCCGTGAACTGATCAAGAAAAAGAGAAATAGAAACAGACAGAACCGACAAGAGAACAAATATTGGGACATCCAGATTGGATACCAGACCAGAGAAGTTATGTGTACTAACAAGACGGGGAAAGCTGCTGCTTTGAGGTAACATTTTATTACCATTAAATAAGCGTGTCTCTCTGTCAAGACCATGGGCTAGAGAGTACTTAAGACCTTCTGTACTAAGTCCTGGAATTCATACGTGTACACCTAGAATGAGCTACCCCCAAGTGGGACATTTTCCACTTGAAGACTTTTAAACCTTTGTGGTTTTCCTGAAGTTACCTCTGTTTTGTACATGTTTAGGCACTATACCACTAGAGGTAATTTAAATTTTCCTGTCAAAGTCTAAAGCATGAGAGATTCTCCATGAGATGATATTGCTTCTTTAGGTCAGCAGTGCTGTTTTCACCTATAATGGGGGAAAAAAAAATGTAGTGAGCTGGAGTTTGGGAATTTTCAATTCAGATACTTATTTTAGTAAGAATAAGGCACACTTATAGTCTCCCCAAGTTTATAGCATGTTCAGAATTACCGTATAAACAAAATCTAAACAACCATCCAGGGAGCTATACCTAAGAATAGTTCCTTTTACATTTTATAAAATGGAATAACTCTCCCCGGAGAAGAAGAGGGAAACCAGCAGAAAATAAGGTAAGTAAAGGTTATTTAATCATGAGTAGCTTACTTTAGAAAACATGTAATTAATTGACTGCATTGTCTAGACAGAAATTATTTGTCAAATTATCTCTGGGTAAATAATGACTATATTATGAAAGACTTCTCATGCATGATTTATTTCTTGTGAAAATATTCATTGAGGATTATCTAAAGGGTATTATGTTTTCTGGATATTCTAAATTTTGCTCTTGGATAAGCCAGACCATCTGGGAGGGGCTTATTTGGATCATTTGCATAATTGCTTCTCCTGAAATATTTATGCAGCTATGATTTGGACTGAACTGAGAGAAATTATGGCAACATCACTCAGAATTTTATATCATATTTATTGTAGAAATGACATTGGAAGTGTCATTTACTCCTTGCACAGTCTGTTCTCTTGATTAAAAACACATAAGATAAATTTCACTGAAGTCTCAACCCATGTGCTTCTGGTGAGCATCTGGATCATTTTCCTTATGGCCCCTGGATATCTTGTAATAGATCACGTTTTCCTGTTTACCTTGGAAACATAAGTAGCACTGTGTGGCATGCGTGTTGTTTACTAATACCCCCCACTGGCTTCATGTTCTTCTCACCCTCATTATTTTCTTTCATTCATTCTTGTCTAATGATTTTTCTATCTATGGATTTTGAAAGCTGACTGAAAGCCTTTTTGGAGCAGGATATAGTTTCAATAAGTGAGTAAACAAACAATTGATGTATCTGCCTAAGACAATTTCTCTCATCATACCATTGTTCTGGTCGCTATTTTTAGGATATTTGCTACTCCCTCTTTGTACATACACAATTGGATTTTCTTTCAGCTGTACAGTAATTTGCTCTCTCTCTGTTCTGAGGTCATCAATCCAACTCTTTTCCTGGTCTTGCTAAAGGCTGCTTCTCCTGCCTTCATTCCCCAGTTTCCCTGTAACTCCTTGAGAGAGAGAGGGGGGGGAGGGGGAGGGGGAGAGGGTGTGTGTGTGTGTTCACCTCTGATTCTGTGTCATGGACATTTTAATTTCAATCCCTGTTTAATTCTTTTCTGACTGTCCTTTTCCTGGTGATTTTCTGATCTCTTTTCCTGAAGTATTACATTATATTGGTTACTTGGCTCCCACCATGTAATTGAATAAGCCTCCAAGGCAACTTGAGTTGTCTCCTGCTGTCGCTAGGTTAATACGCTGTAGACATTTAATTTCATGTTGACTACTCAATTAAAAGTATAATTAGAGTAGTAGCTACTACTGCATAGAGCCTGATATTTCCATCCAGTTATTTGTAAGCAAATAGATATAAAAATCTGTAGATCCTCTGCTGGGTGCTATATTCCATTAGAAATACCATATCTATTCCAATAAAATGGTAGTTGCATGGATGTTATAACTTACTAGGGTATAAATTAAATATTATGTTAAATTGCTTCTTAATATTTATCTTATTTGACAATTATATATAAGAATAATATGGGGCTTCCCTGGTGGCGCAGTGCTTGAGAGTCCGCCTGCCGATG